TTTCTGACCCCAGTCCGCAAATTCCACATTTGCAGGATTTGAACACCCATGTAAAGCAAAACCACCAGACAATGAGACTCATCTTGTTCCAACGTTTCTTTTCCTCTAAAAATATGAGAATTATTTACTGTGACAATCTAATTACAGTATGTTCTATTATTTCAGCTAAAACTTGAAATCATTATCCGTTGTGTAACAGTCTCTAAACTTGTCCTGGAACTGAATGATAAAGATTTGTAAAAATAAAATAAAATAAAATAAAATATGTAAAACCATCATTTAAATGACAATCTTTTTTTGTTTGTTTGTTTTTTTCCAGACAGGAAAGCCCCACAGTTTTCAGGTTTAAAAAAAGGCCTCAAATTTGTTGAAGCTGCTCCAACAAATTGTTTTCTGGTGTGACGAAACTTTTTCTTTTTTTCTTTCAGTCAACTTGCTTTCAACATCTGAGCCTTGTTAGAACTGTTACACAGAACAACAAGACTGCAGGGCAACACAATGAAGAGATTAGTGAGAAATTGATATTTTTTAGAATATTGGTTCAATAGTGATTTGTTCCTGCCATAACCAGAGAGCAATGATTACACAGTTTAAAAACTATATTGCAACGATAAAAGGGTCAGTGACATATGCTGTGTGTGTGTGTTTCAATATACGCCCCAAATTCAAGCCACAGAGCCACTGAGCAGATGTTTTTTCTCGCTCCTACTCTATCACTTGGCATTTTTTTTTATCTCTCCGTCTCACTCCTTCATTCTTTTCTCCAAAATTTTCCAGCTTTCTTCACAAGTTGTATTTCTTGAATCAAGTTTAGGTCACGTCCAATATAACGTGTGGKTTTCTTTTGTTGATATTCTTTAAAGCAGCCTGGATGTAAAAGGAATAGGTCACATCTTTTTAAATGTGGTCATGTGTAAAGATTATTAACAGATAACATTTTACCTGTTTTAGATAGCTCTTTAAAGGACTTCAGTTTGGCAAAAAAAGATAACCCAGACTAAAAAAGGGAGCCAAATGGTCAAGCTGTGGTGGGATGGAGGCTTGGTTGGTAGAGCTGTTGCCTCTCAGCAAGAAGGTTGCCGGATTGAATCCCAGCCAGGGACCTTTCTGTGTAGAGGTTGCGTGTTCTCACCTTGCAGGCATGGGTTTTCTCCAGGTACTACGGTTTCCCCCAACAGACCAAAAATATGAATGATAGGCTAATTGATAACTCTAAATTCTCTTTATAAATGTTTTACAAAGTGAGATGGTTCCACTGACTATGAGATGGTTCCACTGACTATGAAGCAGAAATAACCAATAAGTGAGTTATTTACAGTGCAAGTAGGTAGACTCAGGGAAAGCTCTGTGGGGAGATTGGAAGAGTCGGTCACTGACGAGTACTGAGTAATAAGAGAAAGCTGATACTTGCATTGATTCTTCTTTATGCGTACCAAGATCGTGGAGGAGGCTTGCATGCAGAGGAGGGTGAAGGAGGTAAGTGAATTGTGCTAGATGAGTGGGAGAGTGTCAGGAAGCTGATCCAGAAGGGAAACCCATGGAGGTACGTTCTCACAGAGAGTGGCTGATTGGACAGATCTGGCTCCACCCTTGCCACTCAGGAAGCTGCAGGAAAGAGGCCATCTACCAAAACAGTTACAATCCCTGAGTGTGAGTGAGAGAGTGGACAGTTATTTGTCTGTTTGGTTTCTACAGTATGTGGTCCTGTGATGGACTTGTGACCTGTCCAAGGTGTACCCCACCCCTCGCACTGGGACTGCTGGATATGGGCACCAGTGACCCTGAATGGAAGTAAAATATGATGAATGGATGTTCAAGCTGTGTCAAGACCATACTGGATTATTCCTTTTGGAAAAACAACCCCGTTCCCCCTAAAAAAATAAAAAAAAGAAGAAAAATCATATCATATCATAGTGTTTTTATAAACAATTACATTGCTATCAAAATTGCATTACGTGGTTTGTCTGTCATGATCTGTGTTTTTGCTTTAGTTTTCTAGTGTTTTCTGTGTTCCCCTGTGTATCTCTCTCCGCTGTCATTCCTCTAGCCCCGCCCTTGCTCACCTGTTTCCTCGTGTGTCTCCTCCAGGTGTTTCTTGTTGTCCCTAATTAGTTTACCTTTATATTCTGTGTCCTGTGTTCAGTCTGTGTCCGATCATTGTTTTGTGCTGTGCTGTCTTCCGTGTCCGTCCTGAGACTTTGTGAGTTTTTTGCTGCCTCGACAGCCACTTTTTGTTTATTATTAAAGCCTTTTTGTTTTCACCATGGATTTTGCCTGCATGCGCCCTGGGTTTTCCCCTGCCTGCACCTCACRTTATCAGTATATTTAAATAATCCCGCCATAAATTTTAGCTGCAGCTAACAACTATAGAGTTTTGACAAAARCAACCAAAATAATTTAACAAACAAAACTTTAGTGGCAGAATTGTTAAATATTCTCAGTATWAATCTGTCATAAGACAAAACCCTGAAGAATTCTTGCACTTTGAGAATTTTCTATAAATCTCTACGAAGTACCGTAGTCATTATTGTTATTCGCTTGATGAARAAAATCTTATGCAACCCCACAGAGGTTCCTCTACTTTCATAACACTTTTCAAGAGTTTTTCCTCAAATGGGAGTGTTTTTTCTCTTGTAAGGCCCATACCTTCCTCAGAGATTCTCCTCACACTATACTCACTCTAAAAAATGTCAAACAACTGCTTGAGAAGCTATCAGGAGACCTGAATCATGTCGAAGGTGAAGATTTTCAATTACTGCATTAGCATGTTGAAGGACTGCAATGAAAAGTGCTGTCCACGGTGCTGAACGGTGCCAACACTTGACTTACGCTTGGTCATCTATTACCTAAGTGCATAAACATACTGTGCAATGACATCAAATGAACTACCCTGATAACTGACAAATGGTTTAGTTCACTTATCTGAGCAAAAATAGTCACTTAAATGTCTTTGGGTTTGGACTGTTTCTTGGGCAACRCCCTGAAGACTTCATTTTGAGTCTGAAAACTGTGATAAACATGTCACACATTAAATGKAACAAGTTAGTTGCATAGGGGAAATAAAAATCTTAAGCTGCAGTTCGCTTTTTTTAATCCTACAAGTATAAAAGACAGGGTGGGGGGGGGAGCGTCTGTTGTTTATCAGCAGAATTTTTTAATCCCTTGCTTGTTACATAAAAACGGGTTCGTACAACCATTTATCATCATTTCATCGTGACGTTTTTGCACAGTGGTTGTTCGTTCACCAAAACAACCCGTCAGATTAATCCTTGCAATCTGCGACGTCGAGCCCTCGGTGGGAAACAGAAGGCCGCGGCGTCGACGTGAATGACAGATTGTTGGCAGCTCCCAACATCTTTCCAGTCTTAGAGTTACTCCTGCACGAGGAAACACTTGCTGACTGAACAATAAAGGTACAGGACATGTTTTTTTTAATGCTGTGAACAAAAATGAAGAGGAGTCAGATGTTTTTTTACGGCATACCAAAGAGAAACTGTTGTGAGGAGAAAAGAAGAGGTGGAGATATGGTTGTTGTCTGACAAGGTGAAAAGGAAATTAAACAATGCTGAAAACCAGACAGGAGACCTGGATTCCTGAAAGCTGGAAATGCTGCAACACACGTAAGGCACGGGTTTTTGACCAAAACACMCCGAAATGTTCACTGAAAGATTCCTAAATGAGCAAAATAAAGAAACTGTCGACACTATTTGGTGCGTTTTCAAACATGGATGTAAAACTCCACGAGAGGCGGGAGTTGAAAACTTTCTGGCCGCCATCCTAAGACAACAAATAGGTTGGCAGTTTTTCTGCAGCAAAGTTTGGTACCTCACAAAAAAAAAAAAAAGACTTCATGCTAATCAACAGCAGTAGGATAAAGCTAATGGCTCTAAAAAAAAAAGAGGAGTTGAAGGAAGGATTTTCCTTTTTTTCTGACCTTTTCTGCTCTGGGGTTTAGTCTGGGAAGGGGTGGAGACAGAGGAGATGGGGAGAGGGAGGGAAGGCAAGAAGAGGGCTGGGACGGACCCCCCCAACCCCTATCCCCCACCCTCACACACACACACACACACACACATGGGCACACACATTTACACTTGCACGCTCACATAAATGCACTCAGCTCTTCAAAGCCAAGTGGTTTTAATAGACATCCAATTAGACGGAGACATCTGGGGAGCTGCTGTAGCAGATAAATAAGGTGAAAGGAAAAAGACACGATTCAGTCACCTCTCTGAAACTCCTGATAACCAGGCAGAGGACCGGTGATAGAGAAGAGAGGCAGAGGCAAAAAAGAGGGTGGGGGCCAAAAAAAAGGAGAGGGAGCCACACACACTCACACACACACTCACACTCACACACACACTCACACTCACACTCACGCGGGAGGAAAGAGGAGAGGCAAATCGCCTGCACCAGCACTCAGACTCTGAGAGGCAAGGACAGAGGACAGACGAGGAGATCAGCTCACTGACAGACGCACAACAAGAGTGGGGAGAAAGACGAGACCCGGGGTGGGGGGCTCAGTTACACTCTCAAGTAACTTCAAACCGGCTCACATAATACGAGAGAAACAAAGGAAGAAAAGGAAAGAGGAAAATCTGGATTTTGACTTTTTTTTGTGACTTGCATTGCTTGGATTTCTTTGGACATTTTATGAGAAGCATCACTGTTCTGTTTCTTTTTTTTAAACTTTTAGTTATTTATTCATTTTGCCCTAAGCACTTTGACTTATTTTATTCTTTGTGTTTCTTTTGGGATATGAATTTTGGTAGCGTGTATTAATGAAGTCAGATTGTGTGTCCTGCTCTAAATGGATTTGAAGTGTTTTAAGATTTAGGAGAACAGATCCTCTTGAGAGGAGAAGGTCCTTGATAGTTCTCGCTCTGAGATCTAAGTTATGGATGTTGAGACATTCTTGTGCTCCTCCTGAGGAATAACGGTTACGAGACGACGGGACAGTCAGACTTTCCTGCCGGCTACATCTTGATTCATTGAAACTGCAGATCTGCTGAACGTCCCGCTCTGACCCGCCGCWGCCAAACCATCTTCACTCCAGTTGTTCCAGAGGTTTCATCGCCTACAGTCCCCCGTGAGGTTGTGAGTTCCCAGACAGAGGAGGTCTACTCTGTGGGGTCAGGGGGGAGTCTCTCCCACTCTCTTTCCTCTTCCCCGCACCCAGCTCAGCATGCCCCAGCCCCTGAGCACCTCCACGGCTCTCCCAGCTCCACTACCATGTGTAGATGGACAGTGACACAAGGTGCACCGGTCGCCTGGTTCTCCTCCTTCCCCTGCAGCAGACCTCCTTCGCTCTTGCYCCCCGTCACCTTCCTCCTCCTGCTCCTCCTGCTCGGACCCTCCCCGCTCTCCGCTGCTCCATMCAGAGACTCTGAGAAGAGCCATGCACCAGGGGGGACTCCTCCTGCCTTCGCCTCGTCGCCCTCGTCGCCCTCGCTGCTCTACACGTCCTCKGCGAGGTTGCCACGGGCCGCCAACGAGTCGTCGCCGTCCGCGATGGTGGTCGGGCGTCACGTGCGAAGCAGCTACAAACATCTGCAGGGAGATGTGCGCCGGAGGAAGCTGTTCTCCTACCAGAAGTTCTTCCTCCGCATCGGTGAAGATGGAGTCGTTAATGGCACCAAGGACAGGGATGATCCATACAGTAAGTCAGCTCACTCATGTCGTTTTAATCTTTGGATTTGACCTCGACTCTATACTCTGAGCTTAAATTAGACTTTGAAGATCCTGTTGTATTTACAGGTACATGCAGCCACTCTGTTTCTTTGTAGATCTTTTGGCAGAACCAAGCAGCCAAGGACAAAGGCCCCACTGTCAATGAGACCACTGTGGCAAAAGACACACTCATTCTTCCTCCACTTTATCTCCCGAGTTTATCTCTGGAGAGTGAAGTTTCTTTGTTTCCTTCTCGGGAAACCGTGCACATTAAGACAGGTGACTGGGCAACAGAACAAATAACAGAGCTGCGTGCTTCCAGCCTTTTCACCATCTGTGGAGGCGAAGAGCATTTTTGTCCGACTACAAAGAGTTCGGAAAGAGAGAGCTTGACAGAAGAAGAGCAGGAGACGAAGGGGGGAAAACAGTGAGCCAAACAGATAAAAAACAAAAAAAAGAGAGAGAGAGAGAGAGAGAGAGAGAGAGAGAGAGAGAGAGAGAGAGAGAGATGATTCACTGGAACCAATTAGATACTGCCCAGAGAAAGTTCTTCATCTTTGAGGAAATATCTAAAACAGCTAAACCCCATGGGGAGAACGACAAGTCCACTGGGACCTTGCTGCTTTTGTGCTGCAGCTGGGATCATGGTGGGCATATGCTAAGTTTGAGGTTTTACTCTGTGAATATGTGATTCCTGTTTGTTTATGCATCGTCTTGGTTGTGGGACATGATTTTAACCCTTATTTACGGCGAGAGGGGTCACTGAGCACACATGTGAGTGCTGCTCAGTGTCATGTTCACGCAGCGAGGCATACTGACTCTAATCTAAGCTTAAGAACATCTAAGTTGCAGGTGATGAAAATGTTTTGCTCACTTATTTGAACAAAAAGGGGCCTGTTAAGATTATGAACAAACAAAGTTACTGTTAAAGCTGCTGTGCTTGAACCAAACATCCAGTCTGCACAACAGCAAACTTAAATACTTTGAACAATTTGTAAAGGATCATCACAAGCAGTTATGGCTGACCGAGAGCAGAAAATCAGCTGTTATCATTCTGTCCTCCACGACGTTTTTTTATCTTCCAGTTAAACACATCTGGAAGTTCTCCAAGATGGCCTCAATCCTCTGGTCTTTGAGCGTCACAGAGAGTAACTGCCCGGCCTCGAGGCACGTTGACAGTCGCTGAGCGAGAACAGAACATTACTCCCACGTTTACCTGCCCCGATTTCCCCAGAAGCGCACGGAATCTGAGGGGGAAACCTGAGCGACCTCCGAATGCCGTGCAACAGGCGTTATGTCTACTGTCGAAATCAGAGAGATTATTTCTAACGTGTTTTTCTCACTTGCACACCTCCATACACATGTCACACAATTGCATGCATGTGTTGGTGGGACTTTGGTGCCGTACAAGCCTCCCCTGCTGGGCACACACGCACACCAGAGCGCAGAGAGGCCGGTCTTGCACATGGCCTCCATATGGCAAAACCCCACTTTTATTAGGGCCAGTGTGAATATGTGTGTGTGTGTGTGTGCGTGTGTGTGTGTGTGTGTGTGTGTGTGTGTGTGTGTGTG